CAGTGGATTTGTTGGCCCATGGGTACATTATTTACAAGAGATAAGGACATTTTATTTTTAACACAACAGTAATACCATTATTGGCCCTAAAATTAAACAATAATTCTTTAATACCATCTAATATCCAGCCAGTCTTCAAATTTCCCCAACTCTCTCATGAGTATCGTTTTGTAGTTGATTTGTTTTAAAAAGAATTCAAATAAGGTCTACCTGGTTTAAAAGAAAAAACAGTAGCCATCCAGTTGATTCCAACTCATGACGATCTCAAGCGTGTCAGTGTAGAACTGCGCTCCATAGGGTTTTGAATGGTTGATTTTTCAGAAGTAGACTGTCAGGACTTTCTTCCAAGGCACCGATGTGTAGACTCCAACCTTCAACCTTTTGATTATCAGCTGAGCCCATAAATCCTTTATACCACCCAGGGACTCTCTATTTGAATTATATATCTCCTAAATCCCTATTAAACTATAGAGTTCCCAATTCCTCTTTCTTTCTTGCCATTTATTTGTTAAAGAAACTGGGTCATTTGTCCTACAGAATTTACCACATTTTTTTATATGTCTAAAGCAACCCTGTGGAGTCTTCTTATTTTATTTTTTTAATTTTATTTATTTTTATTGAGGTATAATTGACATACAATATACTGCACATATTTAAAGGACATAAGTTTTGACATATATACACCTGTGAAATCAACAGCATAATCACTCCCAAAAGTTTCTTTGTGCCACTCTGAAATCCCTCACTCCTGCCCCTTGCCGCTGCTCTCCCGATCCCCAACTGCTAACCTGTTTTCTGTCACTGTAGGTTAGTTTACATTTTCTAGAATTTTTTACAAATGAAATAGAGTGTGTAGATTTTCTGGTCTGGTTTCTTTCAGTATAATTATTTTGAGATTCATCTATGTTGTTGATACGTTCATTTTTATTGCTGAGTACTATACCTTTGTACTGACAACTCAAAATTTGTTAATCTATTCATATGTTGATGGACTTTTGGATTGTTGCCTGTTTAGGGCCATCATAATTAAGGTTGCTCTGAACATTCATGCGCAAGCCTTTGTTTTCAATAGGTGTCTGTTTTTTTTTAAATCAGGTTGAGGAAGTTCGTTTCTATTTCTAGTTTCCTGAGAGGTTTTTATTCATTTATATATATTTTTTAAAATCAGGAATGGATGTTGGCTTTTAACAACTGCCTTTCTATGTATTTTTGATAACTGCCTTTTCATTGAGATGATCACACTTTTTTTTCTTTTTTAGTTTGTTACTATATTGAATTACATTGACTAACTTTGTATCTCTGGGATTAACTCCACTTTGTGATGACATGGTAACCTTTTTACGTATATGTGGATTTGATTTGTAAAAGTTTTGTTCAGGATTTTTGAATCTATGTTCATGAGGGATATTGGTATATAGTTTTCTTGTCATGTCTTTAGTTTCGATATCAGAGTAATTCTGGCCTTCTAGATGGATTTGGGAAGTATTCCGCCCTCTCGTTTACTGGAAGAGTTTATATACAACTGCTGTTACTTCTTCCTTAACTGCTTGGTAGAATTCACCAATGAAGCCATCTTTTTCTTTGTGGGAAGGTTTTTAAACCACCAATTAAATTTCTTAAACTGATACAGGGATATTCAAGTAATTTATTTCTTCTTGAGTAAGCTTTGTTAGTATGTCTTTCAAGGGATTTGTTGATTCCAATGAACCTGTCAAATTTATAGACGGAAAATTCCTCATAATATTCCTTTACTGTCCTTTTAATATTGGTTGAATCTGTAGTTATGCCATCTCCGTAATTCCTGATACTAGTAATTTGTATTTTCCCTCTTTTTTTTTCTGATTGTTTGACTAGAGGTTTATCAATTTTATTGATTTTTCTCAAAGAAACAGCTACTGGTTTCATAGATTTTCTCTAGTGTGTTATATAGATCACTGTTACGTTAATTTCTCAAGGGATAGCATCAAAGCACAGGGCAGGTTACAGAAAGTGGCGCAGTGGCTAAGTGGCCTACATGCCAACCAAAAGGTAGTAGGTTCAAACCTGCCAGCCACTCTGGGGGAGAAAGATGTGGCAGTCTACTTCCATAAAGATTATAGCTTTGGAAACCCTTTGGGGGCAGTTCTACTCTGTCCTATAGGGTGGCTATAAGTTGGAATCTACTCGACAGCAATGGATTTGGTTTTTTGGTTTGATATAGGTCATTGTTATGTTAATTTCTCAAGAGATAGCATCAAATCACAGAGCAGGTTACATAAAGTCACCAAGGACACGCCATACATCCTAAAACAGCCTCTAGTCAGACCCTAGTGTTCCTGCCTCTGGAAGCTGGCTGCACATAGATAATCTTCCAAAAGAACCCAATGCCTAAGGCAAAACACTCTCTGCTAAGCTGCTTACTAAGCTACTGGTTTGACCTGAAGGTGATTCCAGGGAATCAGTCCCTTTAAGGGTCAAAAGGACACATAAGGGCAGATGGCCTGGGTGGGTCACCCCAATTCCATGAACCTAGAAATCTGGATTCCAGGAGAATAAAAACAATTTTGTCACCCCTCCTCCTCTTTTCTCCTTCAAGGATTCCAAGTATTTAAGCTGCTTGAAATTATTCTACAACTTGCTGATATTCTTTTCTTTTTTCCCTTTCTTTATTCTTCTTTCTCAATGTTTCATTTTGGATAATTTCTGTTGTAATATCTTTAAGTTTACTCACTTTTTCTTTTGCAATGTCTAATCTGTTGTTAATCCTATCCAGTGTATTTTTCATCTTACACAGTGTAGTTTTCATCTCTAGAAGCTTGATCTGGGTCCTTTTTATATTTTCCATGTCTCTACTTAACTTTTTGAACATATGGGACATAATTATAATAACCGATTTAATGTCCTTGTCTGGTAATTCTAACATCTGTGTTAGTTCTGGTTTGGTTTCAGTTGGTTAATTTTTCTCCTCATTATGGGTATGGGTACAAGCATTTGAATTTTTTGACACAGAACACCAAAGTGCCCTTCAAGGATGTTTATCATTCATCCTATCACTACCAGTACAGAAGAATGTCTGTTTCCCTATCCTGGGAGAAATGAATTTTGTCAATATTTAATCTTTGCCAATCTCATAAACTAAAACTATTTACTCCCTGTCTTAGCTACCTAGTGCTGTTGTAACTAGAAATACCACAGTGGGTGGCTTTAAAGAACAGAAATTTATTTTCTAGACCTCAAGAGGCTAGAAGTCCCAATCTGGGGCACTGGCTCTAGGGGGAAGGCTCTCTCTCTGTTGGCTCTGGGGTAAGATCCTTGTCTCTTTCAGATTCTGTAGTCCCAACGCTCCCTGGTTCCTTGGCAATCTTCATGTGGCATCTATTGCCCACCCCCCACCCCCAACACTTTGTGCTTACTTCTGTGTCTAATACGCTCTTTCCATAATTCATAAGGGATTAGGTTTAGGACATACCCGATACTGATACAGCCTCATTAACAGGACAAAGAAATTCCTTTTCCTAAACAGGACTGCATCCACAGGTATAAGGGTTAGAAATCTAACACATACTTTAGGGGGACACAATTCAGTCCATAACACTCCCTCAACAGACGTTTACTGAGCATGACTATAAGCCCAGCAACTAATGGTGCCGATTTTGTGCCATTCAAGCAGCTGCAGTTGCTGTCCTTAGGGTACTTATAACCTTGTGGTGTTTATCATGATTTTATTTGCATTTTTGATCATTATTAGTGATGTTGAGTATCTTTTCCCAGGTATGCTGGCCATTTATATTTCTTCTTTGGCAGACTGCCTGTGTCCATTGACCAGTTTTAACTGGATTGTCTGCATTTCTTATTCCATGGTAAGAGCTATTTATCTACTAAGGATAAACACCCACTTTCACTTTTTGAATAATAAAAAAATTATGTTTTAAAGACATTTTCTTTAAAATAAACTAATGCTTATATATAATTTTTTCAAATAAATTATTTACATGTTACACAATTACTTTTTTCTAAATTAAAAGTAAATAGGAATTCATTCTGGTTTATAAACAATGCCCTTAAAGGCAGATTTTTTTTGAACAATACATAAACAAAAAATAAATATATAAATATATAATACATACATACTTTCATACGTATCTGACATCAACATATAAATGACTTCTAGTCTTTAGAAATAATCATACAGATTCCAAATGCCATTTTACTCCTTTAATGATAAAATGGAAAGTCAAGGAGATGAATCATTTCCAGATTAAATATTTCTAGCTGATTAAATATTTCTGGCAAAGCCAAGCCACCTGTATTGTAAATGCCCTATATACAAGATTGTTAATTTGTAACCACCTAAGATCTATTCTTCAAAGGAGAAAATGTCAAAATCCCCATTATCGAATCTTTTATTACCTACTACAGAGTAGATGTTGTTGTTAGTTGCCATCAAGTAGATTCTGACTCATGGCGACCCCATGTGTGCAGAGTAGAACTGCTCCATAGGGTTTTCAAGGCTGTGACCTTTTGGAAGCAGATGGCCAGGCCTGTCTTCCAAAGCTCCCCTGGATGGGTTCAAATCCACAACCTTTCAGCTAGTAGTCGAGCGCTTAACCATTTGCGCCACCCAGAGGCTCCCTACAGAGTTGCAGGAGCTCTCAAAGGCACATGCTGCCTATTAATCTGGCTGTGTAGGTAAATGTTGGGAGCACCAGACGGAATGCCCTAATTGAGGCACAGGTTCTATAAAGTACCCAGTGTCTTTTTGGCATTCATGGATAATGTGAAGTCGGAGGGTGGGGGGAACCCTGAGAGGTGCTCAGCTCTACAGCCAGGGATATGACTTGTATACATGTCACATGGCTAAGAGTGGGGCCACTCTCTGAGTATGATCGAGGAATTATATGCCACCAGTTATGTTGTGAATGAATATACCACGTAATTTTACCAATGATGATGATGACAGCAAACCCCCTTGAGGACCAACCCACCAGTTCTTTTGTAGGAGCTGGGCCCCCAGGACTCACCTGTTTGGTGTAGGTAGTCTCTGGCCACCTCGAACATACGCAGGTGCATGTTGGTGATCGGGTTGAAGGAACCACAGGCCAGAAGCACCACAGGGATTGGGCTCTTCATCTTGTCAGGCGCATCCACATCCCTTGCAGCAGCCACCCTGCCTTCATGGAGACAAAAACTCATGTCAAGGAGTTGGCACTGAGATAATTTTCTAGATTAGTGTTTCAAAACTACACACTGGCCATTATGCCTCACTTGCAAGATGAGTGAAGGAGGCAATAGTAAAGATAACAATATTTATGGAGCTATGCCAAGTGCTACACCAAAGTATATACATTCTCCAACCAAATCCTTCCAACAACCCTGAGCGGTAACTTACACGGCTCAGGGACATTTGAAGGAGCAGGGCCAGGACTAGAACCCAAGTAGTGTGACCCCAGAGCCCACATTCTGCTCTTTACTTCTGTACTCTCCCTGGGCTCTGATGGGTCACCTTAGGTTCAAGAGGAGGTTCGAAAGACCCCATAACATCATCTCTGACAGTCCAAACAGAACTCAGGAGGTCCCAGAACAAACTGGTACTTTTAAATTTTAAATAATTTCAGACTTACCAAGAAATTACAAAATTAGTACAAAGAGTTCCTGCATGCCCTTCACCCACATTATACAAATGTTAAAATTTTACCACAAATGTGTACATTATCTGTATAAATCTATAAACAATTTTTTTTCTGAAATGCATGAGAATAAGTTGTAGACATGATACCTCTTTTCCTCTAAATACTATAGTACATGTTTTCTAAGAACAAAAGTATTCTCTTACATAACTGCAGAACAATAATCAAAATCAGGAAATTAACATTGTTACAGCATTATTATCTAATATAGACATTACTCTGATTTCACCCATTGTCCTTTATCTGTTATGGGGTGCCATTGAGTTGATTTTTGACTCATAGTGAACCCATGTGATAGAGTAGAACTGCCCCGTAGGGTTTTCTTGGCTGTAATCTTTATGGAAGCAGATCACAAGGTCTTCCTCCCACGGAGCTGCTGGGTGAGTTCAAACTGCCAATCTCTTGGTTAGCAGCTAAGCACTTAACCATTGTGCCACTAGAGCTCCATGTTCTTTATCTAGGGCCCAAGAATTATGAGGATGCCCAGTCCATCCTCTCATCTCCCCACTCTGAGGCTTTCAGCACCAGTGTGAGGTTAAAGGAAAGAAAGAAATAGGCCCGGAACCAGGGCAGGCTGGCAGACACAGCTCTCCTGACTCTACAGACACTATCTCCCAGATGTGGTGGTTAAGAGCTACTGGAGTTAAGCCTCTTACTGTGTGACCTCAGACAAATCACAGCATCTCTATGTCTCAGTTTCCTCATGTGTAAGATGGGAATAATATTATTTACTCTTATAAGGTTGTAGTGAGGATAAAGGAGATAATGTATAGAAAGTGTCTGGTGTATAGTAAGCACTCAATAAATAGTCACTGTAGTTGTGGTGACGATGATGACAAGAATAAAGAAGATGCTGCTGCTGCTGACCCTGACAGGGGAGAAGAAGGACGAAGGGGTTGGCAGTGTGCCTGTGGTAGCAGCTTTTAAGATGGTTCTCAATGATCCTTGCCTCCTAGTATTCATGTCCTTCTGTAATGCCCTCCCCTTGAGTTTGGACTGGACCCAGTAACTTGCTTCTAATAAAAAGGAATACAGAAAAAGTAATGGGATATCAGTTCTGAGATTAAGTTATAAAGAGACTCTGGTTTCCCTCTTGCTCACTTCTTTTGCTCTCTTGCTCACCCACTCTCATGAAACCAACTGCCATGTTGTGAGCTGCCCTATGGAGACACCCACGTGGAAAGGAACTGACGGAGACCTTTGGCCGACAGCTAGTGAGGAATCGAGGCCCCTCAGTCAAACAACCCACAAGGAACTGAATCCCACCAACAACTGCGTGAGTGTGGAAGCCGATCCTTCCCCAGTGGAGCTTCAGATGAGACTACAGCACCAACCAACACCTTGATTGCAACCTTGTGAGAGACTCTGAGCCAGAGGACCCAGTTAAGCTGTGCCTGGATTCCTGACCTACAGAAATTGTGAGATAATGAATGTGTGCTGTTTTATGCTGCTAAGATTTGGGGTAATTTGTTACGCAGCAATAGAGCAACAGGAGGAATGCATTCACTTGTACTTGCTCCTCTTGCTATGGTAGTTCTTTGGCTGTAACTCCATAGTTCCAGGGATAGCATGGAGAGTTCTCAGCCACTTGAATCTGGGACCCTCTTTGCATATCAGGAAACTTTTAATCTGGCCCGTATCTATTTCTCCAGGTTTCTTTCTAACCACTGCCTGCCTCATACTTCATACTCCAGTAACAGTGAACTAATTATCAGTGATTTCTTTGTGAGCTCCTCATGGCTTTCTGCCTTGAAGCTTTTGCACATTCTATTTCTGTTTCTTCCAACCAGAACATCCTAAGTGTGTCCCAATATGTAAAGGCTCAGTTCAGGTGATCATCTAATTCATGAATTCGACCACTATTTATTGACTGCCTGCTAGATGCCTGTGTCAGTTGGGAATGCATTTGGCTGCAAGCCCCAGAAACTGTAAGTTAGGAATGCACTGTACTATAAGTTCCAGAAATCTATCCTCAGTGAGTTAAACAAATAGACAATTATTTGTTTTTCACATAACAAAATATCTGGAGGTCGGCAGCTTCTGACATCGGATCACTGGCTCAGCTATGACCTGCAGCTCTCTTGGCTTTCCCCTCAGGGTCATGAGATTGCTGTGGCAGCTCTAGCCATTTCGAGCATATTCAAATCAAAAAGCAGGAAGAACAAGCTATACTAGACTGGCTGCCCTTCTTAATCAAGAACCAAACCAAAAACCCGTTGCCACTGAGTCGATTCCAAATCATAGTGACCCTGTAAGACAGAGTAGAACTGCCCCATAGGGTTTTCAAGGCTGTATTCTTTACAGGAGCAGATCACCAGGTCCTTCTGTGGTGTGGCTGGTGGGTTCAAACCACTGATTTTTCAGTTAGCAGCCAAGTGCTTAACCACTGTACCACCAGGGCCCCTCAGTAGATTTTGCTTCTGTCTTATTGGCCAGAATTGGGTCACATGACCACTGCAGCTACAAAGGAGGCTGCAAAAGCAAAGTGGGAAACAAGTGAAAAGGAGTTGGGAATTGGATTAGCCAATCTGTGGTTGGGGATACAATTGTCTGGGAGCTGACAGTATAGGTGGTTACCAAGGTGGCTTTTCTGATACCTAGCTTGGGTTAGCAGATCTCTAATTTAGTTTAGTCAACCACAGACCACATTCTATTGAAAAAGCCTGCTCATGTGTCTTTCCTACTCCACTCCCTCATGCAGGCCCCTTAAAAACAGGAGTGGTGCTTTCTTCTCTGGATCCCAGCTCCAAGCACAGAGCCTGGCCCAGGGTGGGGCTTGGTGAAGACTGAAACAGGGCTGGGGAGGGCTGGAGAGTGGACTGCAATCTGGTAGTGGGAAGGTCTAGGGTATCGCCCAATGTACACAGGGAAGTTGTTCTGGCAGTACTCTGAGCTACAGCATGAAGATGAAAAGCTCTCAGCCTGGGTGGGCCTAGGTCTCTTTAAGCTTTCTTTGAGGCATCAGGAACACCCACTACTGTGTGAGAAGAAAGCTGTCTACAAGCTGCTACTAGCTTCTTCCCAGGGAGGTTAGGTACTTTAATGAGATATCATTTGTGAAGTGTTCTGAGCTATTCACAGGAGCAGCCTCATGATGAGTGTATCTGAAGAGGGTAGCTGTTTTTCACAACTCTTATGAAGTTTTTCAAAATTCTATTTCTTTTTGACAAAACATACTTTTTTTTTAAAGGGTCATTAAAACATGTAACTGCAGCATCTCAGGTAACCTGGGGTTTTTATCCATTTTTCCAAAAGTTCCCAGAAACTGTAAATTAGAATGACATTTGCTTGAACAGTAGCATCAATGAGAAAGCAGTGTGATATTGGGAAATAGAATAGATGACATTTTATAGGCACCACTCTTTCTTTTCGTCCCTTGCTGTAGGTATGCTGAGCCACCTAACCATGGTATGTCCCGTCCAAGTCACATCTCAGGTGGGAGGACAGAGTGAGTGAGCGCAGGTTCCTGGGCTCACTAATAAGTCAGTTGCCCCTGTATAGTTTGTAGACTCCAAGTTGCTTCAACTAACTAGTACCAGTCAACTAACCAGTATCAGTTGCTGTCAAGTTGACTCTGACTCATGGTGACCCTAGAAGTGTTAGAGTAGACCTGTGCTCCGTAGGGTTTTCAGTGGTTAACTTTTCAGAAGTAGATGGCTAGGCCGTTTTTTTTTTTTTTTTTTAAGGCAATTCTGGGTGGATTTGAACTTCTAAACTTTCGGTTAGCAGCCAAGTGCATTAACCCTTTGCACCACCCTAGGACTCCTGCTTCAACTAAACACCCTCCCATACCCAAACCCAGAGAAAACAATGATAGGGTTGAAATGGACCCATTTCAAGGGCCCACCAGGAGAAAAACTTTCCATCTGTACTCAAACCTGGCTCCAATCTGAGTGCAAAGCTCATCAGACACAAGGTGAGATGCATGCCATGAAGGTGACTCATCTGCCCTCATCATCTCACAATATCCAGTGAGTCAAAGCAAGTGTGGGAGACTTGATATTGGGAAAGACTTCTCATCAATAAGCATGTAATGGAGGCCCACAGAGCCAGCAATAATCGCTGCTGAAGGATTTAACAAGTTGAGAAGGCGGTGTATGGCCTTCTTGGAGTTTATCATTAAACCAGAGACAAGATTATACCTCTTGCCCCCGCCCCTCTCTAGCTTCCCACCTCCCACTTCACAGTCATCTAGACAGCATTTCATGGGGCTCCTCAAATGCAACACACTGCTCCCTGCCTCCTCACTCTGCAAATGCTGTGACAGCTACCTGAAACACCCTCTTCACCCCTGCCACACTGGCCATTTGCCTTCAAGGTTATCTCCTTGGGCCCTTTACTCGATGTCCCCTCCCCCACTGTGCTAACACTGCACCTGCTCTACACTTTCTTCTTTCATCCACCACAGAACTGTCACTGCTTTATTTCCATGTCACTCTTTCC